ACTGTCTGCAATGATGGAAATTTCTATATCTGTGTTGTCCAATTCACCAGCCACCAGCCACACATGGCTACTGAGCCTTGAAACATGGCTAGTGCAACTGAGGAGCCGAATTTTTAATTGTATTTAATTGTAATTAATTTAATTTAAATAGCCACATGTGGCTAGTGACTACTGTATTGGATGGTGTGGATCTAAGGATGAACAGGAGTTAAGAATGTTGGTGGAAAGCAGGAAGAATGTGCAGGCAGAAGAGAGAACGTGTGTAAAAGCAGGCTAGAGGGAGCATTGCGTGACTGAGGACATGACAGCAGGAGAGTGTGGCTGGAATGCAGAAAGCTGAGAGAAAATCAGGAGATGAGCCAGGAAAGCAGGTCCAAACCAGACCATGCAGGGCCCTGAAAGCCATGTTAAGGATTTTGAGTTCTATCCAAATAGTAATATGATGCTATTGAAGGGTTGTAAGCAGAAGAATGACATGGTCAGGTTAGCGTTAAAAAAAAAAAAATCACTCCCGCTCCAAGGAAAACAAACTGGAGGAGGGAAGGGCATATCTGAGGAGATCAGATAGGTTCCTATGATAACCTAGACAAAAGATGAAGGTACGCGGTTGTTGGAGAAAAAGAGAATGCATAGATCTGACCCATCTGAGCTCAGGCTTATCACCTACTTCCTGGGTGACCTAGGGAAAGTCACTTAGCTCGCTCGGTCTCAGTTTTTCTTTTCTACTGTAAAACAGGAATAACAATCTCTTCCCTACCTACCCTTTTATGATAATCAAATAGATACGAACGTCCTTTGTAAACCATACAAGTTCTACAGATATAAGAGGTTAACATTATTGTTCAGTCCCACGCGGGCTGCTCCCTCTCCCTCCAACCACTCCTCATGCAGCTAGTACAACCTAGAACAAAATGGGGCTTCACTGGCTTCAGAGGTGTTGGTTTTTTCCACGCACCTGAACCACGTCCTCCTTAGGGGCAGAGAGCTTGCTGCAGGCCTCTCCTACACGCTCCGCTGCTCAGCCAAGAGCACAGCACATGGCAGGTGCTCCATAAATGTCTGTAGACTCACAGTGACACGTGCCTGCTGGCTGAGTGACTCCCCCAGCTTGTCTTCTCCTTCCTCCTAACGGAAGCTGGTACTAATCGTATGCTAACTTGCACTGGCCTTGCCTTGTTGGGGTGACTGAGACTTGTGGCTCCAAAAAGGGATATAAGCCCTTAAAATCAAGGACAGTATATACATCTAGTACTTGTAGGTTTCCATAGAATTCTTTAGGTATGTGGGTACCATCCCAAAAAAGACCCATCAACTTTAGGGGCAGTGGGGACTGGGACAGAGAGGTGGACTTGCAGACATCCCAGTGGGGTCTAGTCCTGTCTCAAACTTGTTAGTTCAGAGCCTCGACACCTTCCTGTGTTAAACAGGAAAAATAGCAGTGCCCTTCTCACCTCACAGAGTTATTGCAACACTTAAACAACGTGAGGGATGCCAGGATGTTTTTTCTTTGTTTGTTTTTAGCTCTAAGTATCATTAACTCAACAACCATATATTGAGCACCAAGTTTGTGCCAGACAATGTGTGAGATGCTGGGGATACAGGGATGATTCTGTCCAAGAGCACAGCTCAGGGTTTAAAAGGGACCAAACAAGGGGCCGGCCAGGTGGCGTAGCGCTTAAGTGCGCGCGGTCCGCTTCGGCGGCCTGGGGTTCGCAGGTTTGGATCCCAGGTATGCACTGACGCACGGCTTGTCAAGCCATGCTGTGGCGGCGTCCCATATAAAGTAGAGGAAGATGGGCACGGATGTTAGCCCAGGGCCAGTCTTCCTCAGCAAAAAGAGGAGGATTGGCAATGGATGTTAGCTCAGGGCTGATCTTCCTCACAAAAAAAAAAGGAACCAAACAAGTTACCAATTGAAATGCAACCTGATAAGGGCCAGATAATGACAGAGTGAAGATGGAGGGCCCTGGGGGAGCACAAGAGGCTTCTCACCCTCTCCCTCCTCTGAGCTTGGCAAGGGAGGGCAGAGACTGGCAGAGGTCATCAAGGAAGGCTTCCAGGAGGAAGTAGTACTTAAGCTTACCTTATAAGGTGCCCAGCAGTTGGGCAAGTGAAGAAGGTGAGAGAGGAACATTCCAGATAATGAAAACAACAGAGACATTTCACTCACTCATGTACTCAACAAGCATGAATTGTTGAGTACATCCCCACCACAGGCGAGGAACTCTAGGGAAATACAGGTAAACAAGACATGACCCCCACTTGGGGAGCACACACTTCCACATGAGCAGACAGCCAGATGAAGGCACCTGTAATTCAGTGTGGTCAGAACAACAACCAGGGGAAGCTCAAGGTGCCCCACAGAGTGGTAAATTCAAAAAACTTCAGGTAGCTGAGCACAGTTGCCAAGCAGAGGGCGTGTGCAGGCAGACGAGGCTGGAGAGCGGGGCGCGGGGCAGCGCATG